AATATTCTTATCCTTAAGGATAAAACCGAGTTTGCCAAGTGCTTCCCACGTGAATTGTATCCTTCTTATAATTTTAAGTTTGATTTTCTAATGAATCCATAGAAACTACGACCTTTAACTTCTCAAGCCAAGCTTTATTCCACAACTGAAAGCACTAAAAAATCGCATCCTATATGCACACTCGCTCGGACTCGCTCGCATCGCATGGCCACTTTCAGCATAGCATTGCCCAGCTCGGTCGCCGGTGTGCATGTATCCTTATCTTTTTTTTACATACATATTTACTATGAGCTACATTGTTTTAGTGTTATTTACAGTGTTGCAGAAAGTGACAGCGCAGACGCCGAATCTGGCTTTGAAGATCAAGATCCTAGCGAAACTGGCAGTACTGTTATTCGGATTGTTTCACGATTCATTGACAGAGTTTGTAACGAAGGTAGGTAACGAAACTGAAATTTTATTCGTTGATAATACAAGGTACGGCAATGAAATGGAACGATTTGGGGTGGGGTTGGCAGCACGTTGCAAAGTGGTGGGGCCGAAAGTCACCAGTAGGTCATGCTTAGCATGGCGTACCATAAGTTCAAGATGCAGAGGCCCTTTTCTAAATAAAGGTCCGATATCACCATCTTGTCGCTACGTTTTGAAAAACCGCAATCGTTTGACGGCGTCCCGGTGTCGCTAGTGCAATTAAACTTCCGATTTTTGTATTTGATTTTATACTAGATCTTACCGAGGCTATCGGCCCGCGGCTATAGCCCCCGTTGTCCCCCCTAGATCCGGCGCTGTGAACAACGCTGTTAAAGCCGGTTACCAAAATGGCGAGGGTCTGGTGCGAACGTGACGTGACTCTCGGTGGCAATTTAACATACTGCGCAATCAACCGACATATGACGCTATTAAAAGCTGGGTAGACAATCTGAAGCAAAATGAATCCGCGCGTAAGAAAAGACGTGATAGTGCCAAAATGGTTCTAACACCTGAAAACGCCGAAACTGTCCGACAAGCAATGTTAAGAAGTTCATACCGTTCAGCCAGCCGCCATGCTACTGACCTTGGGATAAGTGACAGATCCGTGGGAAGGATGCTCCATGAAGGTCTTCGATTTCACTCTTACAAGATGCAGATTGTGCCATTTCTTAATCCGAGTTCTTAATCCTTAATCACCAACGAATCCAATTTTGTGACGTGCTGCTTGCCAGGGGTTCACCATCGAATAACGACCAAGTAAACAACTAATAGATGAACGATGAGGCGCACTTCCACCTCTCTGGTTTTGTTATTAAACAAAAGTTCAGATACTGGTTGCTTGAGAGCCCTCGTGCATGAAACACCCCTTCACGCTCAAAACATGAGAGTATGGTGTACGATTTCTTCTCTAGCGTCACAACCTTTCGTGGGTCTTAGCTGCATCTATGATTCGTCTCCATCTATCCCTGTCCAACATTAACCCCTTTCCAGTCCCGTACTCCTAAGGGCGGGTATTATAAAGGTCGGGTTGAACCTCCGGATGACCAACCATCGGTTGACTTTATTTGTGTATTATAAAAACTATTGAGCCTCGGGATCGTCAATTGGGACTTGACTTGTATTATCTAACGTTGGTCACATTGCGTAACAGCATCAGCCAATTAAAATCACCGCTTCCTTGTCAGTTCCGAGAACTTGGTCGTTTGAGATCACCGAACAAGCGTTAAATTGAATTTCTGAACTTAACGCGGTCTTTATGATGTAGAATTGACGAAAATTGGAACAGAAATCTGCAATAAAATTCTACAGCCCACAAGTGTTGTGCCAGATGGGCAATCACAAAATCCAATAGCGGTATTTAGTGCGTATATTACGTGCGTACATACATTAGCTACATACGGCTGCAATGCATGATATACATTTTCTTCCATTTTAAATATTTTCTCAATACTTTTTGCCTTTGTGCAGAAGTTTCTATAATCGATTCTTCTTATAGAACTTGCAAATTCCAATAAACGCCGCACGGTGTGAAAATTTAGTTTTTCTTTTTCGTAAGCCTAATATAAAATTGGCGCGAGTACCTATAATTGACGTAATGTGGAATAAGGAAAAATATTAGTAAGACCTAAAAATTATTTCCACAGCCGGCAAATTCATGAGAAAATAGGTGTATACTTTTTAAATGCACTTTTTGCTATAAAGTAAATCATAGATTTATAGCAAGTGATTTTTTTTGCGCAAATAATATTGGTTATTTATTTTAATCTGCCGAACTCAAATATGAGCAAAAAAGCGTCTTCGGATTATGATTTTTCCGGAAAGATTTGTGCGGATTTTGATTGACAACGCATGAGATGGCGTTATTCGCCACAGGCGTTTGCAGTAATTTTATGCGCTAGTATGCAAGATATTCTCATATGCGCTACAACTTGGTCCTATGGTTGTGGGGCACTCTCCATCGGAACACGGTTTCTCGTCGTTTTAATCGCGGAGCCCGTAAATCCCGCCTCTGGACCAAAAAGAGCACATTGGCGTGGGATCGGGGTGTATATTGTACCAGCCGCTCATAGTCGTAGTTGTTGCGGTAATGTTATTAAATAAGATCCATATTAGTAAATGCGATGCATAAATTAAATACGATAAATACGATTCATTTTTCAAACCAATTTTGAAAGGTGTATCACACAAAGTGATGTTTGCATGAAATTTCTTCAAGAGAAGTTACATATTTTAATCATTCATGCAAATATTTTCCCTCAACTTTTGTGAAGTAACTGTTTTTCATTGTAAGAATTTATTTTTATCTGAAACAGTTAATAACAAAGCTCGAGCAATAGCAAAAACGAGCTTGGAGCTCTCGAAACGGTGCAAAAATATGAGTTTTTTTGTTTTTTGATATGATTTGAAATAACTTCAAAATTGAATAAAAACGAAAAACCACTTTTTCTAACTATCTCAGTTAAATTAAATACTTCTTTTTTGAAAATGCCATGTACAGTTGGTATAATACAGCACACAAACTTGTTTTAATTTGACAATTTAATTAATCTCTATAAATCTTGCTCCTCGATTTTCCAAATCTCTCAGCTACTGTTTTAGTTGACCATCCTTCCTCGATTAATGTAGTTATTCGAGTTTTTTCAAATAGTTTTGACTGTCATTTTGATAATAGGAAAATGTATTTGTCAGTAATTAGTTTAACCTACTTCTTATCTCTTACGGTTTTGAAGATACCCATACTATGCATCGTTATCTTGAACGCCCTGTATAAATGGCCAATCAATATATATATATTGAATAGCCAATCAGTAAATCGATGTGTGGTTGTATTTTAAAATTTTAGTAAAAAATAAATTTTATTTAAAGATTTCTTAATGTGGCACTGTTCTAGCTCATTTACAATAATAGAAATCTTTTTAGTCCGGACTCGACAAATAAACCCCGTGCGAGGGAGATAGCAAGCGTTGGTTGAAACCATTAGATCAAACATGCCGACGGCGAGTGCCCTAGCTGTATGATATATAAGCTGTGGTACTGCACGGGCTGATGGCGTTTTGCTTCCCGGACAGGCTCGGTTATCCGCGCTCATGGAGGCTAGATCGAACAATGTTTTTAATTAAAAATGTTTTTTCAATTTAATGTTTAAGTTTTCTAATAAACAAACATAAAAATGACAAAATTTAACATTTTTAATTGGTAACACTTCTAGTGCCGACCCCTGTACATACTGTGTACTTAATTGTTAATATTATTTATACTTAGTATATGCCAGATAGTATAATCTAATTTTCTAATAGGGGGTGTAACAAGAGACCACATTAGAAATCTTCACCAAATGATTCCAGGAGTAGTTCACATGCACATAGAAACGTTGGAAGGTGTATATAGGTAATTAATAGCCGATGATTTATTTAGTTCAATATTTTTCCGTCTAGGCCTTAAGCTCAAAAAGGTTTTGATGAAACGAATTCATTATTAGGGAGTCGAAGAGACGTCCACCCATCCAGAAACCAAAGATCTTAACTCCGAACTTGTTGATGGGAGAGCAGCTAATCATGGATGGCTTACGGGTATATCTGCTTCCAGATGGAAGGTATGTCAGCTGCAATTTCTTATTAAAATATCGTTGGAATATAAATTGTCTTTATATAGGGAAGAAAGCATTCCGGGTCTCTTGGGAATACCGCCTCTCTTACCTTCGGAGGGTGCCATTTTCTTGACAAATTACAGGATTATTTTCAAAGGAACACCGTGCGATTCGTTTGGTAGGTCACACAAAGGTATATTGGTTCGCAATGTTTACACACTTAATATTGCTTCCAGCTTGTGAGCAGATTATAGTTCGATCATTCCCAGTCACGTCTTTGACCAAAGAGAAAAAAGTAGCTGTCCAATATTTGGCGCATTTAGATCAATGGCTTCAAGAAGGGTTACAACTGAGGTAATTGACTTGTGATTTATTATTATTTTTTAAGCACACGATACTTTCTGTTTAGGTCATGTACGTTTCAATTAATGAAACTAGCCTTTGATGAGGAAGTGACTGCAGAACACATAGATAATTTGCGAAAGCTGTTGCACAAAACCAGACATCCTCCAAACTTCTGGCATTATTTCGCATTCGCTGGTCAGTACCATTCTTTTTTAATCAGACCGTCAGAGAGTAAATTCGGTTTTGTATAGGACAAGTGACTGTTAATGAAACGCCTCTGCATAAGAACAAAGAAAAGAACGCCACATTGAAAGGCTTTGCGAAGAAAACTCTCCTGAAAACGGCAAGAAAGGCAGGTTTAAAACCGAAATCGTCATCTAAGAAACAGAAATATGTGTTTCCAAATGTAAGAAGCAATTTGTAGCAATATACAATTAATGCACTGACATATTTGTCTCCAAAAACAGGTTACGATTAAGAACACCAATAAATACATGACATCTCCAGGCAGAATGAGTCTGCCGCTCGAAGATTTTGGAAATGACGATGACATTTCCATTGATGATTTTGAAAACAACCCCATCCCGGCCACTCCAACGCTAACAGATGCCAAAACTTTAGAGCGGATGGTGGAAAGAAGCTATGTGAGAGATTGGAAAAGGTTGGGGGTGTGTAATAATACATCTCCGCTTAACACTAAAGGGGCTCCGGATCAGTTTCGGTTAACCTCTGTGAATTCCATGTATTCAATGTGCAGAAGGTATGACAGCAGCATATTTTCTATGGGCAAAAATCGAATAACCTGGTTATTTACTTATAGTTATCCTGCTTTGTTGGTGGTTCCTTCGACGATAACAGATGAAAGTATAAGACGATTCTGTAGGTGTTCACGACAAGGACGAATACCCAGTATTACATGGAGACATCCCAGAACGAAAGCTTTGCTCTTACGAGGTGCTGGACACCACGGTAAGATGTTTGGACTATCCTTATTTTATATAATTGAGGAAAAGGTCCGCACAGTCTTTGAACACTTACTTGTTTCTAGGCAAAAGTGTAATGGGAATGTTAAAAAGCCACCCCACTCCCAATGCTTCGACAGAGTCTACCTCATCTAATGAGCATGAAAAGTATTTTTCAGCTATAGTCAATGCAACACCAATATTCTCGCACAGGTTAGTTTAGACTAATTAATAACATAAATTTAATTCAGAGCATTTTCCTTTATTTTATATTAATTTGTAGACCTGGTTGGGCAATGTCAGACAGTTCTTTAAGCATCGACTCGTTGTTGCTGGCTGCAGATGATCCCTTGGCTTGTGCCACATTAACACCCGAAGTAGCCAGGAGAACAAACGCTTTTAACAAGGCAATAGGAACTTTAGGGTAAGGATGGTTTTCTCGTTAATTTTGCAATTTAAACAGAAATGTTAGCGGTTTTCCAAGACATTCCGGAGGGAAGGGGCCAAAGAATTTTGGGCGATGGGGTTCGCTCAAAGACCGAAGGCAGTCATCGCAAGCGTCCTTAGCACAAGGACAACAAGCCAGAGCCACAATGAGACACTCCACTGATTTGGATAATAATGCTGATACTGTTCATACGTTTCAAAGGTTGGTTTGCCAAAACATGTGCCAGAAAGTTTTGATAAAAAATAAAATTGTTGGAATGGGAGTGTGAAGAAGAGATAGAAATGCACTTTCCAAGAAAAATACTTATTTTTGAACGAAAACGGTTGTTTTTTGTAGTTTTTTGGTAGTTTGCCCAAAGCTAAAAATATACTTTTTTAAATTATATTTCATGGCCTTCTAAAGGTATAGAAAATACATCATATTTGTTGTGTGATTCTTCTTTATTAATTAATTCTTTTATAATCAATTTATACATATTTTCAGGGCGGCCTTGTACATATTAGGAGAAAAGGCTCAAATGAAGGGTATCAGAGTAGAATCAGCGCCAAAAACTGATTTTATTCCAGTGGACTATTACGACGTTAGACACACGAAGGCCGCATTCAAGAAGTTAATGCGCGCTTGCATCCCTAGTTCCCAAAATCAAAACGTCGAACCAGAACATACATTTCACAAGTTAGTATATTGGGAGTTAAACGGAATATTTACCTTACAAAAATGGTATCCGAATCCAATAAAGTTAACATTAATTTATGCACATGTGGCACATGGGTGTCCAAGATAAGGATCCATTGCATGGGAATCTTCGAAACCATGAGAAATTGGTCGGAAAGTCGGTTAAGTTAGTAAAAAGTTGCACAATCAGGGGGTCATATACATGGCGTTCTAAAAAAAGGTATTTTAATTTTTGAGATACTTAGAAAATAATATATTACGGCACAACCAAGAGACAAAAGTCGAAGTTCATGTTCGCGTGCATTACGCCCTTGGCTTTGCCTCGGGCGTCAACTTCAAGCAGTGGCTGGTCTTCCACTTTCGTCTCGCGTTCCGTATACTATTTTTCTTGATCCTCGCTAGAAACTAGCCGGGGAAAGTATAAGGTTTTGAAAAAATAGCTTGCCAGACAGTGCCAAAGTCAAGCTCAGCGTGCGTGACGAAAATTATTACTTCCACACTTATTCCACACGGGATGAAGAATTTGTAAAGGGTAAAAGTGATGCTTTCGCCATCGAAAACAGCGGCGCAAGTACGTACTTTCCATCAGGGGATCAACAAAATTGTTTTTGTTATTTCGCGCAGTCGCTTTGAAAATCTGAACGAGCTCTACCTAAAAAGTACAATTGTTAAATGTACAATTTTTATATTCAGTAGAAGATCGTACAAGTAAACGGTTACAAAAAAAATCTTGTGGACGTTGATCCTCTAAGGAATCTTTATTCTTTTTGTTCGACGAACTAAACGTTTACCGGAGGATGCGAATAATTTTCTTTGCCAGTTATTACTTTCCACACGGGATGAAGAAAATGTAATTTTCTTGATCCACTGGTACACGTACAGGCGTGGGCGAGGATGGGCTAATAATGAAGAATCAATTATTTTTCTGATAATTTTGAATTATTCGCATTCTCCGGTAAAGTTCATTCAACGCAGAGAACCTCCAAACAAACAGAAAAAAGATTCCTTAGAGGACCAACGTCTACAATATTTTTTTTGTAACCGTTTACTT